TTCTTTCATGAGTACTTTATAGTTTTCTGTGTATAGATTCTTAGCCTCTTTGGTTAGGTTTATTCCTAGGTATCTTATAGTTTTGGGTGCAATTGTAAATGGGATTGACTCCTTAATTTCTCTTTCTTCTGTCTTGTTGTTGGTGTAGAGAAATGCAACTGATTTCTGGGCATTGATTTTATATCCTGACACTTTACTGAATTCCTGTACAAGTTCTAGCAGTTTTGGAGTGGAGTCTTTTGGGTTTTCCACATATAGTATCATATCATCTGCGAAGAGTGATAGTTTGACTTCTTCTTTGCCAATTTGGATGCCTTTAATTTCCTTTTGTTGTCTGATTGTTGAGGCTAGCACTTCTAGTACCATGTTGAATAGCAGTGGTGATAACGGACATCCCTGCCATGTTCCTGACCTTAGCGGAAAAGCTTTCAGTTTTTCTCCATTGAGAATGATATTTGCGGTGGGTTTTTCATAGATGGCTTTGATAATATTGAGGTATGTGCCCTCTATCCCTACACTTTGAAGACTTTTGATCAGGAAGGGATGCTGGACTTTGTCAAATGCTTTTTCAGCATCTATGGAGAATATCATATGGTTCTTGTTCTTTCTCTTATTAATGTGTTGTATCACATTGATTGATTTGCGGATGTTGAACCAAACTTGCAGCCCTGGAATAAATCCCACTTGGTCGTGGTGAATAATCCTTTTAATGTACTGTTGAATCCTATTGGCTAGTATTTTGGTGAGAATTTTCGCATCTGTGTTCATCAAGGATATTGGTCTGTAGTTCTCTTTTTTGATGGGATCCTTGTCTGGTTTTGGGATCAAGGTGATGCTGGCCTCATAAAATGAGTTTGGAAGTTTTCCTTCCATTTCTATTTTTTTTAACAGTTTCAAGAGAATAGGAATTAGTTCTTCTTTAAATGTTTGGTAGAATTCCCCCGGGAAGCCGTCTGGCCCTGGGCTTTTGTTTGTTTGGAGATTTTTGATGACTGTTTCAATCTCCTTACTGGTTATGGGTCTGTTCAGGCTTTCTATTTATTCCTGGTTCAGTTGTGGTAGTTTATATGTCTCTAGGAATGCATCCATTTCTTCCAGATTGTCAAATTTGTTGGCGTAGAGTTGCTCATAGTATGTTCTTATAATTGTCTGTATTTCTTTGGTGTTAGTTGTGATCTCTCCTCTTTCATTCCTGATTTTATTTATTTGGGTCCTTTCTCTTTTCTTTTTGATAAGTCTGGCCAGGGGTTTATCAATCTTATTAATTCTTTCAAAGAACCAGCTCCTAGTTTCGTTGATTTGTTCTATTGTTTTTTTGGTTTCTATTTCATTGATTTCTGCTCTGATCTTTATGATTTCTCTTCTCCTGCTGGGTTTAGGGTTTCTTTCTTGTTCTTTCTCCAGCTCCTTTAGGTGTAGGGTTAGGTTGTGTACCTGAGACCTTTCTTGTTTCTTGAGAAAGGCTTGTACCGCTATATATTTTCCTCTCAGGACTGCCTTTGTTGTGTCCCACAGATTTTGAACCGTTGTGTTTTCATTATCATTTGTTTCCATGAATTTTTTCAATTCTTCTTTAATTTCCTGGTTGACCCATTCATTCTTTAGAAGGATGCTGTTTAGTCTCCATGTATTTGGGTTCTTTCCAAATTTCCTCTTGTGATTGAGTTCTAGCTTCAGAGCATTGTGGTCTGAAAATATACAAGGAATGATCCCAATCTTTTGATACCGGTTGAGACCTGATTTGTGACCCAGGATGTGATCTATCCTGGAGTATGTTCCATGTGCACTAGAGAAGAATGTGTATTCTGTTGCTTTGGGATGAAATGTTCTGAATATATCTGTGATGTCCATCTGGTTCAGTGTGTCATTTAAGGCCTTTATTTCCTTGTTGATCTTTTGCTTGGATGATCTGTCCATTTCAGTGAGGGGAGTGTTAAAGTCCCCTACTATTATTGTATTATTGTCGATGTGTTTCTTTGATTTTGTTATTCATTGGTTTATATAGTTGGCTGCTCCCACGTTAGGGGCATAGATATTTAAAATTGTTAGATCTTCTTGTTGGACAGATCCTTTGAGTATGATATAGTGTCCTTCCTCATCTCTTATTATAGTCTTTGGCTTAAAATCTAATTGATCTGATATAAGGATTGCCACTCCTGCTTTCTTCTGATGTCCATTAGCATGGTAAATTCTTTTCCAACCCCTCACTTTAAATCTGGAGGTGTCTTCGGGTTTAAGATGAGTTTCTTGTAGGCAACATATAGATGGGTTTTGTTTTTTTATCCATTCTGATACCCTGTGTCTTTTGATTGGGGCATTTAGCCCATTAACATTCAGGGTAAGTATTGAGAGATATGAATTTAGTGCCATTGTATTGCCTGTAAGGTGACTGTTATTGTATATTGTCTCTGTTCCTTTCTGATCTACTACTTTTAGGGTCTCTCTTTGCTTAGAGGACCCCTTTCAATATTTCCTGTAGAGCTGTTTGGTGTTTGCGAATTCTTTCAGTTTTTGTTTGTCCTGGAAGCTTTTAATCTCTCCTTCTATTTTCAATGATAGCCTAGCTGGATATAGTATTCTTGGCTGCATATTTTTCTCGTTTAGTACTCTGAATATATCATGCCAGCTCTTTCTGGCCTGCCAGGTCTCTGTGGATAAGTCTGCTGCCAATCTAATATTTTTACCATTGTATGTTACAGACTTCTTTTCCCAGGCTGCTTTCAGGATTTTCTCTTTGTCGTTAAGACTTGTAAATTTTCCTATTAGGTGATGGGGTGTGGACCTATTCTTATTGATTTTGAGGGGGGTTCTCTGAACCTCCTGGATTTTGATGCTTGTTCCCTTTGCCATATTGGGGAAATTCTCTCCAGTAATTCTCTCCAATATACCTTCTGCTCCCCTCTCTCTTTCTTCTTTTTTGGAATCCCAATTATTCTAATGTTTTGTCTTATGGTGTCACTTATCTCTCGAATTCTCCCCTCATGGTCCAATAGCTGTTTGTCCCTCTTTTGCTCAGCTTCTTTATTCTCTGTCATTTGGTCTTCTATATCACTAATTCTTTCTTCTGCCTCATTTATCCTAGCAGTGAGAGCCTCCATTTTTTATTGCACCTCATTAATAGCTTTTTTGATTTCAACTTGGTTAGATTTTAGTTCTTTTATTTCTCCAGAAAGGGCTTTTATATCTCCCGAGAGGGTTTCTCTAATATCTTCCATGCCTTTTTCAAGCCCAGCTAGAACCTTGAGAATCGTCATTCTGAACTCTAGATCTGACATTTTACGAATGTCTGTATTGATTTGGTCCCTAGCCTTTGGTACTGCCTCTTGTTCTTTTTTTTGTGGTGAATTTTTATGCCTTGTCATTTTGTCCAGATAAGAGTATATGAAGGAGCAAGTAAAATACTAAAAGGGTGGCAATAACCCCAGGAAAATATGCTTTAACCAAATCAGAAGAGATCCCAAATAGTGAGTGGGGAGAAAGGGGATAAAAAGAGGTTCAGAAAGAAAAGGAAAAAAAAAAAGAAAGAAAGAAACAATTAAAAAAAAAGAACACGAATAAAGAAAAAATATAAAAAAGAAAAAAAAATATATATATTAAATAAACTAGTTAAAAAACGTTAAAAAAGAAAAGGATAAAAGTTAAAAAAATTTGGCAGAAGAGAAAAAAAATTGAAAAAGAAAAAAAATTAAATTAACTGCAAGGGTAAAGAATCATGGGGAGAAAGCCATGAGTTCTGTGCTTTGCTTTCTTCTCCTCTGGTTTCCGCTGCTCTCCTTGGTATTGAAACTGCACTCCTTGGTAGGTGAACTTGGTCCTGGCTGGGTTTCTTGTTGATCTTCTGGGGGAGGGGCCTGTTGTAGTGATTCTCAAGTGTCTTTGCCCCAGGCGGAGTTGCACCGCCCTTACTCAGGGCCAGTCTGAGTAATCCGCTCGGGTTTGCTTTCGGGAGCTTTTGTCCCCTGAGCGCTTTCCGTAGAGTTCCGGAGGGCGGGAATGAAGATGGCGGCCTCCCGGTCTCCGGCCCAGAGGAGCCGAGAGCCCAGGGCCCCACTCCTCAGTGCGCCCTCAGAGAACAGCGCCCAATTACTCCCGTCACCCTGCCTCCGGCCGTGCTCGGAGGTGACCGAGCCTGCGACCGGTTCAAGGTAACCCCGAGCTGTGAGCTCATTCCTCGGCTCTGTCTCTGTAGCCGGCTTCCCCGTTCTAATACCTGTAAGCTCTGCGACACTCAGACACCCCCGATCCTTCTGTGACCCTGCGGGACCTGAGGCCACGCTGACCCTGCGTGGGCTTCACCCCGGTTAAGCCTCTGGAGCGATGTCCCTCAGCAGAACAGACTTTTAAAAGTCCCGATTTTGTGCTCCGTTGCTCCGCCGCTTGCCGGGAGCCGGCCCCTCCCCCCGCGGTCTATCTTCCCGTCGCTTTGGATTCACTTCTCCGCCAGTCCTACCTTTCAGAAAGTGGTTGATTTTCTGTTTCTAGAGTTGCTGTTCTTCTTCTCTTCGATCTCCCGTTGGATTTGTAGGTGTTTGCAATCTTTAGATAAGCTATCTAGCTGATCTCCTGCTACCTGAAGTAGTCTCAGCCTGCTACTTCTCCACCATCTTGACTCCTCCTCCTAATCTTAAGATTTTACATATTGTTTTTCACAAATGCATGGTTAAAATTAACTTAGTGGGAAAACATGTTCTAATTTTTTTAAGGCTTTAATGGAGAGTGTGCTGAGAAAAAGTGTGGTATACATAACAGACTAAAATGACTAACATTTTCTAGAGATCCAGGGGAGTTAACATAAGAATAAAACTTTGCTTAAATTTAACATCATTTGAATACATTTTTGAAAAAGTGATATGCTACAGTTCTTTAAAAAAAAAAAGTGTATTCTCTACAATATATTCCTCATTTCTTTATATAGTACAAAAACTTCAGCCCCAGAAAAAAAAAATTACAAATGTGTACACACGCATAATGAAGAGGTTTGACTTTATTACATTTTCTCTTTAAAATGAAGATATTTCGAAGGTAGAGAAAGATCTGAATGTGGTTAAGTAATTGAAGTACACATAAGAGACAGTCACTAGGATGTTTTTACAAAGGCCCAATACGGGTGTGATAGTTCCCAGGGAAATGACCAAACTAAGTCTAACAAAAATAAAGGGTAAATCCTGGAGAAGGATGCCCAGGGAATTCAGAAGAGGGTTCTGAGGAGTTAATATAATTCGAAGGAGAGAAATAAAACTGAATATGTAGACTGGGTATAGCCAGCCTGATTTGTACACGTCGGCGTGGCCAGCCACGCGCACCATTTCTATGGTGTCAGACCACAGCAGAAAGCTCCACAGGAAGATCTGGGCACGATCATCCTGCCGGGACATTGCTTCCAGGATTCCTGAGTGAAAAGAGGGCTCTTGGGGTCTCGCCAGAACTGGAGAGGGGTTCTGTGTCCTCGCTGACGGTGGCAGTGATGCCTCGGTCCTCCTGGCCAGCTGCTGAGGGGAAGTGCTTTCTTCATTTTGTTTCACTTGGTCGGTCACAGTTTTTATTTGCTGCAAAGTATGGATGTGCCTATCGTCGTCACCTGCAACAAATAGATTTGAATTTTAAAACTTGTTGAAACGTTATGTAAATTAAAATTTCATTTCAATTTTTTGTAAATTTAAGTGCTAAAATTTAAAGATAAAATTGTGAGTGTTCTCTTATTTGACATCTGTTTCACACATGGAACTTCAATGGGAAGCATAATGACAAAAAGAGGGGGGCACCTGGGTGGCTCAGTGGGTTAAGCTCCTGACTTTAGCTCAGGTCATGGTATCAGCCCCGCGTGGGGCTCTCTGCTCAGCGGGGAGCCTGCTCCCCCCTCTCTCTCTCTGCCTGCCTCTCTGCTTACTTGTGATCTCTCTCTCTGTTAGATAAACAAATAAAATCTTAAATTAAAAAAATTTTAAAAATCTTAAATTAAAAAAACTCAAAGGCAGAGAAAGTTCTTCTTCTTTTTCTATTTTTCTATATATGGATCCCAAGTCATGTTGCCATTTCACAGTACTAGCCATTACTGGTTAGAGAGCTAAGCACTTCCAAACATTATCTCATTTAATCCTCAGGAAAAAAGTTGACAGATGGGGATTATGGTCCCACTTTATAAATGTAGAAACTGCAGCCCAAGAGGTGAAATGACACACCAATCCAAACACACGGTAATGGGCAGAGTTGGAATTTACACCCAGATTTGTTTGACCCCAATTGACAATGTCTTAACTTTATGGCTGTTATTACTGTCTAGAGGCAATACGTCATGTGCTAATTATAAAACATGCACATATCATAAAATCAAATGACTCTAAAAGTCCAATGGTCCAATCCTGTCACTTTTTATAAGACGACAACAGGGATCACTACAACCCAGATCTCCAGCTTGGAGTTTGGTCCTAAGACAGAATCTGTTCGACCATGAGAAAATCTTGGTGAAGGGTGCTGCACAATCTGAGATTTTTTTAAGCTGTACTATCCTCAGAGTTTTTAACCAGTCAGTACAACTGATTAGACTAAAGCAATTTGTTTGTGGCCACAAGGCTATCCCTGATCAACACGACAGTCATCTGAATAAGGAGGATATTTTCTCATGAACATCACACTGTGTGTGAGCATGTGGGTGCACCCACGCGTGTGCCTCTCTGTGCGACATGGGTGTTGAGGCTGGGGAATTACAGAGGGATCCTCAAAACTCAAAACTTACCACCAGGGAAACCTGAGTGGCTCAGTGGGTTAAGCCTCTGTCTTCAGCTCAGGTCATGATCTCAGGGTCCTACGATCAAGCCCCTCATCAGGCTCTCTGCTCAGTGGGGAGCCTGCTTCCCCCTCCCCCTCTGTCTGCCTCTCTGCCTACTTGTGACTTCTCTGTTAAATAAATAAATAAAATCTTAAAAAAAAAATACTTAACCACCAACGTTGATGGTGTGGTTCCTGTACATGAATAGTAGATCACATTATTTCTCAAACATTCATCTAGTTAAGCACCATTTTTTTTTTCTAAGAATTTGTTAGGTCTTAGCAAAGTTTACTCAGCAAAACATGCTTATCATTACCTATTAAGCAATATAATAAGACAAAATCTAAAGAAGTCATTATACTGAATAGCTCTAAAGGTTAGAGACACGAAGTCAATAAAAATTTGTTGAACTATATTGAACTGATATGAAAACATTTTAAAATAAATAATTATGATTAATGATTAATAAAATGATTATTATAAATAGGAGCTGTTTAAAGAACAAACCTGTTTTCCTTTTTTAAATTTTAAGTGCAAATTGCATAAATCAATAAAATAAAAAGATAATCTAAATTCTTGATGAAATAGTACTTCTGATATGAATCATTTATAGAAAATGGTAAGACCTTTAGAAACTTCTTTACCAACCTTAGATGACAGAGTAGCATGAATGAGTATCATTTAATAAACAATAATCAGGTAGGAAAGAAAATTATATACTCATTACTATTATTTTAATACTCATAAAATCATCTCTTTTTAAACTCAGATGCACACTGGCATCAGTTCTATCTCTCGTTTTACAAAAGAAGGAAAACAACATGGAAATTATGTTTCTTAGAGTATGTTACGTCCTGGAGAACTCTCCTTCACCTGTCTCTGTAGTTAAAACTGTTTGAATGGAAATCCAAATTCCTTTGTCAACATCAATAATGCAGTGTATAATGTGGGCTTTGGAGGCTGATTGCAAATTCAGCACTGTTTCAATGCCAGGAAGTGGCAAGCTAAGACATGACATGTTAACATTTTTAAACAGTCAGTAAGAATCCTAATATCTGAGGATAAGAGCCACAGGATGAACAATGAATTCTTAGCTAGAGTTCATTTTTAATAAAATACTAAAGTCCCAACCCATGGGTATTTGGTGAAAGTGGGGTTGGGAGCTTCATATCTCTCTAGAGCTCAATAGAAACTAGCTTAGATTTGGGGTTGCAGGGACTCTGTTGTCTTCTTTCCAAGGGAGAAGTACTAGAACTATTGGCTGGAGAGCTCTGCTGGCCTGCCAGAGGGCAAGGTAGTACTGAAGATGCCAAGAAACTGTTTGGTCATTAGAATAGACCCACAAATTTACCCCCAAGCAATGTAAACTTTCATGTACTCAATACTATCCCATTTGATTCAATAACTAGTTCCCCTCCAAATCATTATTTTTTCAAATTTCCACTTTGTTCTTCTGTTGTGGTTGTTAATATTCTATTGGGGGAAAAGGATATTTATTTGTGCAAAATCCACAAAAGATTTAAGCATGAAGAAAGAAATCTAGGGTGCCTGGGTGTCTCAGTTGGTTAAGTGATTGCCTTCGGCTTGGGTCATGATCCTGGAGTCCTGGGATCGAGCCCTGCATGAGGCTCCCTGCTTGGCAGGGAGTCTGCTTCTTCCTCTGACCCTGCCCCTTCTCATGCTCTCTCTTCTCTCAGTCAAATAAATAAATAAAATCTTAAAAAAAAAAAAAAAGTCTACACATTTCTCTAGAGGTTACCATTTCCCTGCAAAAAGTAAAGGTAAAAGCCATTCTGTGTAGCCCCCTACATCTGATGCCAGTCTCCAAAACAACCTTTTATCTTCACTGTGTGAACTAAATACTTAAGAACATATAATTTTAATCACAGGTAAATGTTTAAGTAGGTGACTCATGTCTATTTTACTGGATTTTTTAATTATTTATTTATTTGAGAGATAGAGAGAGCATCAGCGGCAGGAGGGGCAGAGGTAGTGGGGACAAGCAGACTCTGCACCCTGTGTGGAACCCAACAGGGTATTCGATCCTACAACCCTGAAATTATGACCTAAGCCTAAACCAGGAGTTGGTCACTCAACCAACTGAGCCACCCAGGTGCCCCTTGATTATTTCTTTGTATTGATGTATTACCATCTCTAACTTATTCCCCAAAGTGTTAGATAGCTTACGGGGAAAACCTAAGAACAATGTAACAAACCAGTAAGGGAGAATTTTCTGAAGTGAGCATGCATTCCTCTTGGAAAGAGACTAGGAAAGAAATATAACTTATTTAAATATAAACAATGAATCTTGGAACACCGAAAAAAATAAAGTTTAAAAAAAAAGAAATATGACAGGCTGATGCATGAAATATGAGGAAATTATTCCCATTCAGAATGAAATACTCATTGAAGTCAGAGAAGGATACACATTGTATGAATTACTAAAGACCAATTAAAATCTAGAATGTCTGTGTAATTCTGAAATTTTACTGGAAAAGCTAACGATGAAACATAAATTCATTACTTAAAAAATTAAAATAAATAAATAAATAAATAAATAAAAAGAATCATAAGGACAGGCACCAAAAACCAAGACAGGAATGGAGGCGATAGTAAAAATGCACTAGTGAGTCTCCCAGCCGTCCTTTGGGAACAGACAGATCATAGCCAGACCAAGCTTCAGCTGGGCATCGAGAATGGAAGCCACATTCCCACCTTGACCATGCTGTCATCTGGGATCACATCAATAAACACAGAAGAATAAAATGCGGCAGGGCTTTAAAAGGAAGGTCAGTGCTGTGATGAGAAATTCTCGTATAGGTCTGAGTGAGACAGGAGGTCAGGGAGGCTCATCTGAGAAGTGACGGTTAAGCAGTGACCTGAAGAATAAGTAGGAATGAATTAGGTGAAGAATGGAGAAAGGAACTTTCTAGGTGGTAGAAAGAGCATGTGTATAAAGATCTTTCAGCCACAGTGATGGAAAGAGGCAAGTTTTGTAAGGAGCTGGGGAGGCAGAGGGGGAAGAAGAGGGGTGGAGCTCAAACCTAGTAAGTGCTCCCTACATACCAGGCACTGTCCCAAGCCCTTTCTCTGCATTAATTCACTTAATCCTGAGAATAGCTCTATGCCATAGATGCCGTTATTTTCCTACATGAAAAATGCATAAACAGAGGCACAGAAAGATCAACAATTGTTTCTAAGGTCACACAGCTAGCAAGTAGAGAGACCAGAACTTGAACCTCAAACCCTTTGCCCCTAGATCACGCTATCATATGTGGCAGAGTCAGACATGGTAAAGGCTTTGGACTTTTCTTCTGAGCTCAATGGAAGAGAGAGAGGAAGGCAGAGGAACCAGAAAGGACATGGAATCATCAGCAGAGAGGTTCTCAAGGCCACTGAGGCAACTGTTGTGAAATGAGACTGTTACTCAATTCACGGCAGCCAGGAGATCAAAGAAGTATTCGGAAAAAAGAAGACTAGCCTTGATTAATAGAACCCCAAATCTATTTTTCCTGAGAGAAAAAATGTTCTAGAGAATGTGAAATGCTAATGAACTAGAAATAACACTCTGAGAAAAAAAATCTAGACAAAAAGAAAATTATTAATCATTGCAAATATTTGAAAGTATATTAAGCACACAAAACACTTTTGGTCATAATCTTGGAAACTAAGGGAAAAAACGTAATAAATTAAAAGACACAACGGGGCATTTATATACATGGTTGCTTTGACGCTATCTACTTCCTAAACTCAGCTGGACTGTGGAGAGTTTGTTTCCTTTCAGCAGCACATCTGAGCTCTGGAAGACAGGA